ATAGCTCATTCTTGAGCTGGATTACACGTGATTAGCTGGTCGGTTGGAGCCTTTTCTCAAGAACAGTCCACGCTTCATGAGCGGTGGAAGACGTTATGATATACGGTAGGATAGATTGAGATACCGTGCAAAACAGGGCAGAGAGGAGGTTGCTGTCAATGACAAGCCATTGGGCGTAGTCTGCAGATTGGTTGTCCGTGGGAGCTTGAATCGTGCCAAGGAGGTGTCCGGCGAATCCATTGGCCGTGAATTGCTTGAGTAGCTGTACGCTCCAAAGATGGTAATTGTCGGGTGTGAGGGGGTGAGGAGCAAGATTCTTGATGTTGGAGACTAGAAACTTGAGGTTGGGAGGGATGCTCGGTGTCATGCCGGTGGGCGTAGAGGAGGTGGAGGAGGAGGTGGTGTTCGAAGAGTCCATGGGTTCTTGATCAACCCTTTCGGCTCTAGATACCATGATAGAATTGCAAGAAGAAGGAGATGAGATGAATTGAGAGAGAGAAGATGTGGAAGAAAGAAGTAATTCATTAAGCGTTACGGTTACATGGATAGCTATTTATAAATACAGAATGATGGCATAAATGTAAATACAATAATCCTGGATACAAGAGAGCCGTTATGTGCTAATAGATAACTGATCCAATATTTATTTATTTTTTACATTAGAGGGTCAAATTCTAATAATTATTCAAATTATAGTAATTATTAATTTATGATCCTATTTTTTTCTAATTATTATGTCATCACAGTTTCATTGAGATATTCATCGAGATAAATCATTGGCAATTCCTATGGTTATCGCCTTATCGGAGTTCAAGAATCATTTTACAGGAAACTTTAATGGCAATGGTGTGAAAACTAAATCAAATATCATATTAATAAAATTAGAGGTTTAAGATTTAATGGTCAGTTTGAAATTTAATTTGATGATGTAATAAATATTAAAATTATTTAAATTAAAAATAAATGATATAATAGTAATATAATAATTATATAATATAAATTAAATTTACAATCCTAAAATTATATTTTAAATATATATTGCAAACTTGCATTTATAAATTATTGGTGTTAGGTTATTTATAACTAAAAATATATATAAATTAAATTTCAAAAATGTATATTTAAAAAAGAAAAACAAAATAGATAAGCAATTTAATATAACTATTATTTCAATTATTAAAAAAATAATTAAAAAATTATATAATAATGTGTTTTAAAGTTGAAAACTTCAACTAAATTTTTTTAATTTCGCATCATTTGGGAGAGGTTTGTTTAGTTTTGTTTATGTAAATTTCTTTTTTATTTGCATGTGTTAGGAACTCACATGAGGTGGTGTGACCATGTGAGTATATTTTAGTGATGCTTAGTTGATAAATGATCACTACAAAAATTTAATGCTCATTATAAAATTAAAATATGTTGTATTTAAATTGATTTACTAAATTTAGCATTTAATTCTATGTTTTATATTAAATTTATTTATTTAATTATTTAAATAGGATAGTAACTAAACCGATCGGTTCTTAAAACTGGGATCCATTAGCCGATTGAACTGATGTTTCAAATCAGTTTACGTTGTTTTGATACTGGGCCAATTTTTAAAACTGATCAAATCAAACATATGAACGGTTCACAATTGAACTGATCGAACCAGCCAGTTCAACCCAATTTTCAAAATCATGATTACCGGTATATATCATGTTCTCCTATAAAGTTAAATGTAATATCAATAAACTCAACATTATTTAATTTATAAAACAATCTTAAGTTAAAAGAGATATATCAATTCTTTTTTCCCTTGCTCAACCTTTGCTCAATTTTCATTCAGTTCTTTGGCTTTGCCAAAATTATCATAGCATTTGCCACCTCTTCAACAGAGAAACTTGAGCATCCTAGAGCAAATGTATCTGGCTCTTTAGGTCAAACATCTCGCTCCTATTCATCTTCCACCTAATTTGTTAACTTCTTTATCTTAATATTGGCTTCCATTGATTTGTCATAGAACAATATATAATTGAGAACAAGTCTGTCAATAATCCTACCATTTCATTATCGGTACTAAAAAAACAACCCATCCACCATTCGTATTGCTTGGTTTGTAACCCAAAAGTTGGGTCATTCATATTTCTTTTGGGAACTCCTAGCTTTTTCTTGGAGAAGCATCATCATGGTCATATGCAGTACTGGGGGGCATTTCTAAGTGCTCAGTACATAATCCTACAAAACCTTTATAATTGTCGTTAAAGCATCTTTATGAAGTCTAAGAAGAATCCCTCCTACAAGAAAAAAATGATCAATTATTATTTACTAGTAAAATGCAAGTTTTCAAGTAACTTTGCATAGCATGCATGTTATATTGGCCTTTATCAACCTAATTACGACTAGGAAAGAAGAGCTCATCTTCAAAAAATTCACTAAAGATCCCTTGACAATACCCTTTGATAAGGGAAAATTATTACGTATGGTGTCCGGATTCGTTCGGACATCAATCCAGTCGCGCCACGTCACCAAAAATCCAAAATACACCAGAAACTAGTTTATTTGGGTGACGTGGCGCGTCTGGATTGGGTGTCCGGACGTCCGGTGACCGGACGTACTAATTCGCCCTTGATAAGGGCTCATCTTCTGACTTGTGATTTTAGGTTCTCCTTACCACTTTCTTGAGGCCAATAAACATTTCCTTAGAAGACTTAACACCACCACCTAAACTTTATCAATAAGCCTCCTGTAGGATCTACACACCTCATAGTTTTTCTTTTGACATATTAGCTCATGGTTAACATTTCTAAATCATTATATTCAAAGTTATGGATTATTGGTGTCAACTAGAATTATGATCACTTTTGCTTGAGTGCTCCAATTGCGTTCATTTTCTTTTGGCTATGAGAGCTCATATTTATTTGCTTGAAGATAGAGACCTCATGGGTTATTGAGAAATTCCAAACTTGTTAGCATTGGAATTTATGTACTTATTCTTCTAACGCTTTTTAGAAGATGAAAGTTGTACCTTGCTTAAGCAAGGTGCGGGATTGATCGAGAAGCATCTCACCCCAAGAAGTAAAATAATCTATTGACTAACTAATAATTTCATAATTGTCAAATAACTAAATCATTCCTTGCATGATTAAGTATGCATTCAAGGATGATTGGGAAAGGCTTATGTTGAGGTATGTCAACATGAACATGATCTCATATTTGAAGGGAATCTTCAAAACCATTTTAGAATATTGAAAGAAAAGAAACATCTCTTTCGAATCATAGGTCAAGTTCAAGCATTCATCCTTCAATGGAAACCTAAACTTCTCCTCATCAACATCATGTTTCTTCTTCAATCTTTTTAGCACAATGATCATCACTTTATTAGGAGAAAGTTCATTGCATTGAAATCGCCACAGAAGTCTTACACCTTGCCCTTATTAACCTTCTTTTTGGAACATGTTAGCTTCTAATCCGCCATTGAGCTTTATAAGTCAAAGTCAATCCAAATTACCCCTCTTTATCCTTATAACCTTCAACTAGCACTAGAACTTTCACTTGTTCATGTGACTCTCATTATGACTTATTCATATCATCCTATAACCACACTAAGGTAGATCTAGTAAACTTTGGGATTCATCTAACCTTGATTTTTCTAATTGAACCGATAATACTTGTATGAAACATACCGAGATATAATGAATCAATACAAAATCCAAGGAAGACTTAGGTGACTTGCCTAGGTTGACTAACACTAGATTACCCATATTCATCCTTAAAAATCCTAGAATGGCACTAGAACCTACACTACATGAAATTTTAGGAATTAAGTACCTATGTAGCTACACTAGCCACTCTATGACTCTCATTAGAACTTATTCAAATTATTTTATAATCACACTAAGATAGATCTAATAAACTCTAGTAGTCATCTAATCTTGATTTTTCTAATTTGATCCATAATGCTTGTATGAAACATACCGTGACATAGTGAACCTAAGGAAAGTCCACATATGACCAACTCACATCCAAACTTGAATGACCCAAGTTCCATTATGGTTAGCTATGTCAAGCTAAAGCTATAGCATGCCATTATGGACCACCATAAGTCAAATCAACATACCAAGAGCCTAGGATCACTAGCCCAATGTCGAATGCATAGGGCCCAAGCAACTCTTTAGGGCTTACAGACTTCATCTAGCCCAACCTAACTAAACACACTTAACTTTGGGCCCACCTTAATTAACTTTGGCCAAATTTGCTCATTAGATCTAAGCATGAAATTTGATTTATTTGACGAACTAACTAGAACACGAAGCCATTAAAAAACCATAACATCTAGATCAAATTAGGCTCATTCACCCTGGGCTGTAAATTACATTTCCCTCAAATCGTTGACTATTTATAAAACTAATGCCCTCTTACATCTATTTGATAAATTCTCTCCTACGTATCAAGATCCACAACAAAGTCAACCAATATTTTTCACTTTCTTCAATTAATTTTCTAACGGTTTAACCATAGCATTCACAACTATATGAATTTGCTAGTTTATTATTTTTGTTTTGTTAAATTTTGATGGCATGTGCTTAATTCTCCTAAATTAGAAATAACAATGTGAAATTTAGAAAACAACAACATCAACATCAAGCCTTTATTTCACTACATGAGATTGAATATCTGAAACCTTTTTTTCCATTGTGTCCTATTAACGATCAAATTCTCATTTAAATCTAATAAATAAAATTTATTTCTAATATTTTCTAACCAAATCTTTTTAGGTCTATCTCTATATTTTTTAACATAAATTAAATCTAATGGATCTACTCTCCTAACTAGGTCATTAGAAGGCCTCCGTTTTATATGTCCAAACAAACTAAGACAACTCTAATCTTATCTTCCACCGGAGGTACTCCAGCCTTTTCACTAATATGCTCGTTTCCTATCATTTCTCTAAGAGTAATATGAAATGTAAAAAAAAAAAAGGAGAAAAAATAATATGGAAGCTAAAAACAAAGGAGGTGAAAAGCATATAAGGAAGTAACAGTTTAATGTCAAATATGAACCAAAAAGTTGATTCCATACACTTTACCAAAACAACTGAACGCTGTAAAATCGCCAGTTTTTTATTAACAAGATCAAAGATAAAATGTTTTTGCCATCTTCTCAAGTCAATGCCACGTAGGCATAAAAATCTTTCCCAATATTTCGGAAGAAGCTTCCCAATAGTGTCACCTAGGCAAAAAGATTTATACCCCAGAACTTGGCAGGCTGATTGGTACGGTAATTCCTATCAATAGACTTAATTTTATCCATGTCCTCATCTGATATAGTAAAGTCAAAAACTTGGAAATTCTCCTGCAGTCTCTCCAACTTTGAGGACTTTGGGATAACTACCGTGTTCCTTTGAATTCCCCAGCGAAGTATAAACTGAGCTACAGTCTTGTTATACTTCTTAGCCAGCTCCTGCTAAGTCGCAAGAAAATAGATCAAGAACTAAATGCATCCACATATATACATATGCGTGTGTGATTTCGGCTTTGTTTGGGACAGCTTTCTTATTTATTTGTTGTATTAAAAAGCTGCTTTAAAAAGCAGTAAGAAAGCCGTCCCAAAATGAAGCCTTCATTTTGTTAAAGTAGATGTTAACCTGAATGATAGGATCATCTAAGCATGAAAGACTGCCAAACAACTCAGTATTGGCAGCAGCACCGCCTAAGGGAGTGTGTGCTGTGACACAAATCCCATGCTTCTGACAGAATTTAACAAGAGAATCACGTTGGAAATAAGGATGTGTCTCTATCTGGTTGACTGCAGGCTTTATTTTGGAGTAAGCAAGACAGTCCCTTGTGAGAAAGATGTCATAGTTGCTGCAGCAGAATAAGAGACTTATGTCAGGTAAACAGATGAAATCATAGATATAAGGTAGTTAATAGATGTGCAGTTGTCAAAGTTAATTAAGGCCTTAAGAAGAAAACAAATTGCTTAGATTTAGGTTCAAGAAATTTTTTACTAGAAAGCTGCTTTAGAAAACAATAAAAAAGTCATCCCAAACGAAACCTTAATTGCAGAACAACTTTTATAGTAAGGTTTCCACGGTGGTTAGAAGAGGGATGATGAGCCCTCTTCCTAGGGTTTGGAAGTGGAGGTCCCGAAAGATATTCAATATTTATAATTTTTTCGAAAAGGCATTTTGATTTTTTTTGTAATTTTAGGTTGCCATAGGTTTTTCTTTATAAATAGAGAGGCTACGTTGTGCAAGAGAAATTAGGATTATATGTTCTCCAATATAAGATTTTAGAGAAATATATAGCAACAACAAGATATAGAAATCATCTGAATGAACAAATATAAAATTCTTATTTGTTTCTATGCATTGATCTTTTTTAAAAAATCTTTTTTACTTATGAGTCAAATTTGCCTATTCCCAACAACATAAGTCATATATAATCCAATATTATAAAAAATAAAATTAAAAAAAAAAAAAAGTTAACTAGTTTTTTTAATCTTACAATCCTAGTAGAAGTATGATTTCATTTCTTGATGTCCACCCACTCTTTCCTTTCACATTTATCTCCACATGATACAAGAAATTAGACAAAGTTTAGATATACAGTAACAGGGAAATGGTTCAAGAATATTATAAAATTTTTATTGCCTAAAAAAAAATGCTAGGAATATTTTGAAGCAAATATGGTCAACTTGAACGCAATTTCCGCTGCACATTGAGACTTTAAGAAGCAGTGCTCTCTCAGCCACATCATCCCACCAATAAGAGACTAAAAGGTCCCTTGTACAGCTGTGGGGTGTGTCTCGTGATTGCGTGAAGGATCTGAGACTCCACGTGGAACAAACTGAGGGCTTGCACGTTTTGGTAGGGATGATATTGGCTGGGACAAGCATCAAGCAAGAATACCAAGTAAAGGAAAGCTTTTCTACCAAGCAGGCTCCCTGGAAAGTGAATACACTTCAAAGCACACCAAGAAATTGCGTGCTTGTTTTCTTATATTTCATTACTTTTAATAAGTCCCCAAAAAATTCACTTGATCAGCACATATCTCGATGAATATTTGAATTGAAAATTTTCAAAATTAAATTCAGCACCACCCAAACTTTAATTTCAACAAATTTATAATCAAACTGAACACCTCAATGAGATAAAACCATTAACACCATAAATAATCCAATATGATCCTAATAAACACAAATTAAGCATTTCAAGTATATTTGAAAACTTTTGAATATTAATTGAGAGACCAAACAATCTCCAAGTTTTACGTACTTATAGCCAAATAAAGCAGCTCAACGAGATGAATCCAATGAGTCTAAGATCATTTTACTCGAACATCATTAAGACGCTCAAAATATTAAATGAATGATCTATGATTAAGATGATCAATATGAGCCGTTCAATAGTGTTTAGGATTTTTTGTCAAATCTGCCAACACGCCCCTCTTAAAAAGCTATAAATAGAGCCTCATTTTCAACCTGAGATGAGGTTTGAGAGTTGAGAGAGTTAAACAACTTTATAGCATTTTCCATCGATCATTGTTGATCACCATTTACAACAATCTTTGCTAAAATTGTCAGGCTTCTGTCATCCGACTAATGTTTTTTGACTATAACCAGCTAATCATATTATTGGGCTTTAAGTGTCCGCTTCTGGATATCCATTTTTTGCAATTCCTATAATGAGAATCATTCATATGTTACCAACTATATATAATCTCATTTTTTTATTATTTAGTGGATTCATTCAACTAGGCCAAGCCTATGATTTTTCCTATTCTTGATTTTCTCATGTAAATTCTAGTGTCTCATAATTTTTATCAGTTTGCGTTGGATATTTATACAAAGTTAAGATATGAAATACATACTATATGTAATTTTTTTAGCAAGTAACAACTTGAACTCCAAATAGTCTATAAATAAATCAATACAAAGTGTTGCATTTTCTACTGATTTATGATATTTTATTCATTTCAGCATATAAAACAACTCTAGAAAATTCTACTAAAATATCTACCAAATTTTAAAATAAAAGGGAGATTAGCATAAGAAGGAAGTTCAAAAGACAGGTTTCACATGGAATCAACTAACTTGCCTTAAAAGATCTATGGTTAGTCACTGTAATTATGTTGGGCATATAGATCAAAGATCAGGCATTGGACTTCTTGCATCCAAATCTTCATTAAGAGAACAATTTTCATAGAATCATGAGTAGCACAGTTAGCAAATCAAAAGACAGCATGCCAATGAGCCAACTAGTTGACATATACAAGAAATATCGGGGGTTAATGATCCAACTGTTGGCTTGACCAAGATAAAAAATGCATCAAGTAGAGTCCTTGCCAAAAGTCACTTATTTACCAGTTTTTACACTATACCCACAACATCCGACAATGCGCAAAAGCTTCATATATCAATACAGATGATTTCTGAGTTATTACCAACTATTTCTGATGTGAAACTGCTAGGAGTTACGTTTAGAAATGAGAAAGAAAATTGTTTTAAGTTTGCCCTTATAAATTTATTTCAATCATGCAAGAGAGTTAAGAATTTGAAAAATTTAACTTGCTTAGGTCAAAGATTAGCAATAGAGAAAAACCAAGACTATCCTTTCAAAAATCAAGGTAATATTAAATGCAAAGTACAAATAACATAACCCCACACTTAACAATGAGAGGTTCACCTCAAGGCCTTATCACTCAACTACTTGTAGGCTTTAGCGGAGAAAGGTGAGCCAAATAATGAAAGATGTTACCACAACAAAGATGGCGCCGAAGAACTTTGTTGGTGGAGTGGTAGCAGGTGGAGATGGACGTAGTGGGTGGCCGACGAGGTTCCAATCGTAGCTTGAAAATCGTCGGTCGATGATGCTTGCAAGAATCGGGACGACTCGCTCCAAATATTCTTCAACAGTAGTTTCGTGTTCAAATCTCACGTCAAAGCACGGAGATCTTAGGATGTTGATGCTTCCGTCGGCGTTGAATACAAGACCCCATTCAAGCTCGGGATCCGCCATTCAACATTGAAGAGAATAGGAGAGGTGTCGTCCTCTTCGTCTCTAGGCTTCTCAATGCACGAGAGAAGGAGAGAAAAGGGAAGGGGCCGGCGGGATTCTCAAGGGGAGAGGGTGATTCTCAAGGGGAGAGGGTGAAGCCGGCGGGTGCAAGGGGGAGAGCTAGGGTTTGGAGAAAATAGGTTTAGGAAATTATGGGAGAGATTAATCAAATTTGAAATTTAATTTCAGTTTTGAGTAATTTAGGAGGGAATTGACTTGAAATTTGAATTTCAAATCAATTGGAATTAAAGCCTTAATTGGGGAGTTAATGGGGGAGAACCAATGAGAGGGGGCCGGCGGGTTCTAGAAGGGGAGGGAGTTTTATTTCATAATCTGAAATTGATTTCAGATCATAAATGAAATTAAGGGGAGTTATTTTGAAATTTGAATTTTGGATCAAGGCATTGATGGCATTAAACTAGCATTAAATGGATTTCCCTCTTGACGAGGCCGGCGGCATGTAGAGAGGAGAGGAGGGAGATTATTGAGAATAAAGCAATTTCCAATTAGGAGGATGCCACCTAGGATTAGAATTAGTAACTCATCATGTCATGAAATTGGAATTGGATTCAATTCAATAATTTCCTTATTTGGACTTTGGCAATTATGAAAATTTTGGAGCTCATTCAAATTTGAATTTTCGAAATTTGAAAAGAAAGGTAAATGATGAGAGAGGTGGCCGGCGGTGGAGCTTGGGAGGAGGTGGTGGAGGGATGTGGTCGGCGGCCCAGAGGAAGGCCGGCGGCTTGGCCCCTTGGATTTGGCGAGGGATGATGTTGGGCCTCGGATTTTGGCTGAACGGAGGGGGAATTTGGAGTTGGATGAAGATGATGGAAACACAATTAGGATGGCCACGAACTTAACCATGAGCCGCGGACTTATCCAACTATTGGTGGGCCTTGCGGTTGCTCCTCCTGAGCTCTCTCCCTTCCCTAGCTCTCATGCAAGAAGAAGAAGACAAATAGCAAATTTTTATTCAAATATTCATTAACCATCATACAACACATGAGACCACTATATATAGGCCTCAACTCAAAAAAAAGAAAGTACGAAATTGCCCTCTAGGCTACAATAACAAAGCAACTCCCCACGGGGGTAAAAATGAAAAAACTGCAAATACTAAATAATACATCATGACATCGAAATCAAAAGTAGAGGCGCTGAATCGTGGCCGTCGATCTGCGATTTCGCCGGCGATAAACATGTCGGTAGCGTCTGTCGATGTCCTCATCAATTTCAGCTTTCTTTAGGGATTAAATGTGAATAAGTACGGAACTGAGAAAAAAAAAATAGAGTTGAACTTGATGTTATATGATACTTTTATACAATTCATATATTTAATATAGTTTTACTCTTGTAATATTAGGAATGCAATTTATCACTTGTCATTTTAAGTCTAGTGCAATTTTTTATTTTATATGAATGTCAATTTGTTACTTCATAATTCAATAGAAAGTTAATATATCACCTTTTAACATATTATTTGGCTATTATACAAAAAAAATATTTTTAACCTTCATCTTTATTTACGCAATTTTTTTTATTATGACACTTATGCCTCGCCTCACGAATGAAAAACGCTTCAATACTCAATTGCATAATTTTAAACCTTAATTTTTCCTAAAGAGCTAATTAGTTTGAAAATAAAATTCAGTTGGCTATGAGGCTTAGCATGCACTCTGGATTGAAGAGCCTACCAGTTGCATTAGATCAAATGGGTTCGGTTCATTTTGATCAACAATAACTAAAGAGGGGAGGTGCTCTTGTGGTTTTGAGAGAGAGAGACGGTAGCAAGCTTCCGAAGTTCTAGAACATAACTTGAAAGCAAGTGAGGTCAGGCTTAAAGATGAAAGATTAAAGCTGCTCTTGTAAGCAGTTATATAAGCCAAGCTTATAGGTAGCAAAATATATAAGGTCCTACAAGTGGCTTTAAACATTGGGCTTAGAAGTAGCGGTGATTTTGTGGCCTATTGAGATGACAAGACTAAATTGGCTCCCCTCCCCGAAGACCAGTTGATCCTCTGTAAGATCTAATGGGAGAATTCAATAGTTAACGATTTGAGATTCCTTGATTAGCCCAAGACTCCTTAATTAAATTTAACCAAATAGGCATTTACCTCTCTACCAGATATGAAAGGGTTTATTCAATAGTCCAACAAGGATTAAAGATTCCTCAATTGGTCTAAAAATCTGAGGTTGAATTTAGCCTTCCAACCTACTAATCCTACTATATTTTTGAAGGTGAGGATGAGGAGTTTCCTCAATCTAATAGGGAGAGGTTAGATGAAATTTGAACATCCAACATTTAGTCTTATAGCAGACCTAAAGGGAGCATGCAATAATTCACATGAGCGTGGGGATTCTGAATTCCTATTTCTAACATGAAGAAAGCATGATTAAAGACCTATTTATAACCTTGGAAGGAAACAATATAGAAATAGCCTGAAATATGAATATTGTTTATTTAAAATGAACAATGATGATGATGCAGGACTACGTAGATGAAATGATTATGAAATCATTTAGACATTGCACAACTCGTGATTAGAATAATACTAGAATAAAATTAATAGCAATTCTAAAACGAAGAATCAAAACAAGAGTTATCTGCTTAGGCTAAATCACATGCTACGAGTTTTGAAACTTTCAAAACAAATAAAAAAAATAAAACAACACTAAGTAGTAGTTTTCAAAATAATCCCTAATCTAACAATGAGAATTATGATGCATTGAAAGTGCGCTCAAATCCTACGATTACTAGGCTTAAGCAAGAGCAGTTGGAAGAGCCCGTTGTGACTGCAATCAAACCACCGAGAATTTAGAATAAAAGGAATAAGACGCAAGGGAAAAGAGAACCTTCGTTAGGGAGAGGTGGAGATCCTCCACTCGGCGCCTTCGAAGTGTTCGTCAATGGCTTCCGTCAAAGCAAATAAGATGCGCTCCACGTAGTTTTCAACGGTGTGGTCAATCTCCGGATTCACGTCGAAGAAGGTGGATTGTAGGATGTCGGTGAAGCCGTCTTCGTCCCACGTGATGCCGTATCCAGTCTCCGGATCCGCCATTTATGAGTAGTGATGGTGAAATCTCCTTAGCCGTTGATACTCCTTGTAAACAATGGCAAAGAGAAAGAAGTTTCTCTTGCAAGTTGATGGAAACAAACTTTCAAGGTTCTTGATCAAAATCTGAAATTAGTTCCAGATTTTATCTCCAAAATCTGAAGGAAAGTTTCAGATTTTACAATAACAAGGTGGAATTAGAGGGAGAAGTATTGAGGCTTTAATTCCCTTGAAGTATTCCAGCGGGAGAGAGAGAAGCAACCCAAGGTGGGGTCTTGGGGAAAGTTTGGTCAACAACAGGTGGCAAATCCCAAATCTCTCCAATGATAACAATATAACCTGGACAGATTTTAGGAGAAATTCAACGCAGAGGGGCGGCGGGATGTAGAGAAGAATTGGGAATTATTTCCTTATTTCACTTCTCAGCTTTAGGAAATAATTAAAGGTTTAAACTTTGGAATTTTCGGCTGGTGAGGGAAGGGAAATATTTCCAAAGAGAGGGGATGGGTTGTAGGAAAGAATTCCTAATCCCATCATCAAGGGGCCGGCGGCAATGATGGTCCAATGGACCTTAGTGAAGAGAGTTTAAGAGCTTCATAATTTTGGATTTAGAAATAAGGAAAGAACTGAATAAATCCAATTTGAATTAAAATTCAAATAGGCTTAATTTAGGTAACTTTCCAAAAATAGATTTTGGGTAGATTTGGAAAGATTTCAAAATCAAACTAGAGGAGTTTGAATTTTAAAATATGTCCCAAAATAGGTTCATCCAAATTAGGCAATGGAACTCAATAGGGGAGGGAGTGGAGAGGGGGAACGGCGGCTAGGTGGTGGTAGCCGGCGGCAATGGGTTTCGGGATGGGATTTCGGCCGTGGGGTGAAGGGGAAGGGAAGGGGATTTTGGTGGGCTAGAATCCGGCGGCTAAGCGAGGATGGGGAGGAGGAGATGGAAACAAAGGACGATGAGAAAACACGATAAACGAAAGAAACCACGAACCCGACTTATCTAGGTTAGTGGGTATTGCGCAAATCTCCTTCCTCTCCTAGGAAGCTCTCTCCATTAGAACCCTCAAGCTCTCAATGCTCATGCAAGATGAAATTTTTAATACTCAATCATTCATTAATCAAAATAGAACAAAGTGTGGCTTTAAATAACCTCATACAAATGACTCAAAACAAAAGACACAAATGCCCTTTGGGCTTACATACGACAACTCTCATAAGAGGGGTACAACGAGAAATAATAAAACACACCTAAGCAAATAACAAAATACATGAATAATAAAATACACCAATGACTTAGAAATATAAAGACTCGATCGTGACTGTAGATCGGCGGCCACGTCTCTGATAAACTTTCCATGACGATCTGATGTCCCCATCAGATGATCACAAACATATTTTCATCAATTCAAAAAAACCCTTGATATCTTTACCCAAGCAACCTGCACCTAGAATCAAGCATTCATGCTATCTAACCGCATCAAAGTTTCCAGCAAGTCATCAATCAGAGAGTCAAGGTACCAAGGATTCAAGGCGACACCACAGTTCCAATGGTGGTAATGATTCAAAAATTTTCCTAGATCGCTGATGAAATTTCTGATGGTTGGAATTTTCTTTCTTATGTGACTAAAACGTGCACTTTTGCTACAGGGGAATATACAAAACTCGTGCAAATCCCAATAGAAGCATTTTGACTGAAACTTTGTACAATGATGTGAAGCGTGGTGGCCATGGTAATTTTGAATATATCCAAAAGTTTTTTAATATCTACGAACAAAGGAAAGCATATGGAAACATCTGAAGCAACTCGAATGCTTCTTGCAAGCAACTTGAGATAATTGGGTACTAACTTCATGGTAGTTGAAGGTAGTGGTGTGACTGGTGTCATTCACCATTGCCATTCTTAAGCAGACCTAGTCTCCACACAAGGAAGAAGTAAAGCAACATGGCCAGGTTTGTCCAATCCCGTGTTGGTTTAACCAATTCTGGCTTGTTTAGGCTCCGATTTGCTTGAATCAAGTGTGCACAAGCTTTGTTTGACAAGACTAGTCTATACAGGTCTGAGATGAACCTATTGAGGGTTGTGTCAACCACTTAAAAGAACATTAAGGTTCAAATTTATCCAAATATTTTGCACAAACTTCATTTGACTTTTTTTAGCCAATGCTTAATTTGTGAGGCCAATCAAGGCATGCACAAACACTAGTTTAGTTATGGGGATGTTTTGTTGGAAGTAAAGTGAGTGTAAAGTACAGTAAAGTAAATGTAAGGGTTTTGAGAAGTTTGGTGTTTGGTTGGACGAAAAGCAAATCCAATGTAAGTAAAGTGAATGCAGTGTATTCCATTTTAATTTATTTTCGAGGTAAACCATTTTCACCTATTTTTGAACAAGAACTGTTTACACCAATTCAAACCTTGGTTGAGCACTATTGATGGCCACCGTCTCCACCACCACCCAGCTATCGGCCGCCCACTAGCCGCCACCGCCCACCGCCACCTACGCCAGCAGCCCACCACCTCTGCCACCGCCCACCGCCGCTGGCAGCCGCCTCTGCCCACCAACGCCGAACACTGACCACCTACCACCGACAACCACCTTGAGCGCAACCTTTTTACACTTTAAATTGCATTCACTTTACTTCAAACAAAAAAAAGTAAAGTCATACATTGCTTTTATACTAATCCAAACAACACCAAAGTATTCCTTTTGCATTGCATTCCTTTTACACTATTCCTTTTTCGAGCAACCAAATAGTCCCTAAGTAAAAGCCAAAGTAAAGCTTAATAAAATCTATAATGGGTTCTTTGATTCGTAAAATTTGTTCTAAATTTTGTGCATGAATCAAACAATCAACATGTGGATAAAAGTGAGGTTGAGGAAATAACTAAACATTTTACAGCAAAATCAGAGCATTGACCATTTATACTTTCATAGCAAGTAAACCACAACAGTTGATTATTAGTAGCCTTACCATTCATAATGTGTTATAGTTATATTTCAAGCCTGTAATAGGCTGTCTAATATATTCCCCGTTTACTTTTTAGGGAAGCACACTACATTCTGAAAGCCTGTTTAGAAGTCCCAATCAACATAGTTCGAGCAAAGTATATCAAACCAAGGAATGGATCCTAAGCATACACAAAATGCAAAAAAAAAAAAAAAAACATATAAACGTGTCTAGTATTTCATAATTTAGTCTACGATACCTGATTCCAATGCTACGAACCAATCCTTTTGAAACAAGATCTTCCATTCCATGCCAGGTAGTCTCCAAAGATATGGATGTGTCAATGTCTAGCACCCCATCTTCAGCAAGAGCGCTTCCAGTAGTCCCAACCCCTGGATTTAGAATTGTTGATTGCAATATCAAATAGGTTGTAATATTCAAATCATTAAAAAAAAGAAGGCAGGAATCACCAGTGTGTCTTGTAGCTACAGGAAAGTGCACAAGATAAAGATCCAGATATTCAAGCTGAAGCTTTTTCAAACTATCCTTGCAGGCCTCAAGCACATGACCGTGATCTGAGTTCCAAAGCTACATCGCAAACCAACTTACACTTATGATAATGGTAATTTCCAAGAATGATATTTGAGAACATCTATTTGAAAGTAAATATCATGACCTAACCTTCGTAGTGATGAAAAGCTCCTCCCTTTTTACTAGACCTGTTTGCAAGGCCTCGGCGAGTGCATGGCCAACTTCAGATTCATTTTTGTAATCAGCTGGAAAAGGAGAAAAATTTTATTCATATTACAACCGAAGAGAATAAAACTAAAGAGACAGCGCTTAAAATTCTGAATTTTCTTTATACAATAACTGTATACATCAGATAAAGTGTGTTTGATTTGGCATCATCTTACTTAAACAATTTAATGTTATTCAAAATGATCAACTGCTATTATGATATTTCTAATTTTTTGTCTTTTAATTTGGATAGCCTCAGATCCAGTTGAATGCAGATTTGATATACATCTAGACCAAATTAGGAAAAAATTATATTGTGAAAATGTTCTTTAAATATGTAACCAAATTAAATACCGGAAATCTTCTAATAATATAAAATTCAGATGGTATCATGGTAGCAAACCAACGAACCTTAATACATACAACAAAATGACGGTGGGCCTTGCATGAAGGACCTAGAATGTAGAATTTCAAAAGGCCAATAATTGAGAAAAAACATAATCACCTACAGCAAAAATAAAGGTTGAATGTAGTGAAGAAGGTATTATTGTTGATGTTATTATCACCCCCCCTTCTTAACTACAAGAGCTTCTTTCTCTCTTCTCTCATCCACAGTAATAACTTCTCCATACTATGACTAAAAGCTTAAGCCCTACTTTCCTCTCTCTCCCTATCTTTTATATTTTTTTATGGCCGTGGGATGCTTCAATACTGTGGACCTCTCTTCATATAATGCTTGAAGATGGTAGATAGCAAGCTTGAATTTATCAAGTGGACGAAGGTAGATATCATATGTAGATGTTAGGTAGATGATGGAAAATAATAAATTTATCAGGTTTAGATAAAGGGGGTACATAATAACTTGTAATTGATGAAGAAAAATTATATTCACATCTTTAAATTCACTTCTCCATTATCCTGATTGACCAAGAAAGAGCTTAGAGATTTCTAGAGGACATCTGCAAGATTGATAATTTCATAAATTAGTGAAGAAGCAATTGTAAGGATCCAACATAAATACACACAGAGGCATGATTGTCATCATGACAAAGGCTAATTTCCAAGTTCATGGTCTTGCTTGATTACGTTGGAGCAATGCATTAAAGAAAAAGTAAGAAGCTAAACTACTCAGGTTAAGCCTTCTAAAATCCTCAAGAAGATGAAGATAATGTGTGTCAATTGGAGCTATTGTCATACATGGAGATGTATCTGATAGTATATGTGATGAATTTGAAGCTCTTTGAACATTCCATGCTTGATGACAAGTTAGAAGAAATCCTAGAAAGTACCTTTAGAGATCAAAATTATCTTTAGAGTAGAAGCCTACCACCACCAAACATAGACCAATGGAAGCATTTTGCATTAACAAGAAAGTTCAGTGACCAAGCAAAACCAAATAGTACACAAAGGACGTTGAGTATGTAACTTTCCCTCACCTAGGATTTATTATTATGCGCGGAGTGCGGAGGGCATCCGGAGACCAATAAAAATGCGCCACGCCACCTCATTGGTGGATACCCAGCTCGGTACCCGCACTCGGTACCACTGGGCACCCAGTGCTTAACCGGACGGTTCTCCCGTCCTGTGTCCGTACGGAATAAAAGCTCCTCATCTAGAGCTTTAATTTCATAGGAAAAAATCGTTTTAAATGAGGACCAATATTCTGGGGATCATATCATGAAGAGAATAGTTAATCTAACCATTAACTTCAAAAAAGTCCATAAAAAGAAGCTTTTCTCATAGTTTAGGAATCAAGTCTTCAAGGGACAAAAGATCAACTTTGTTGATTCTGAATCATCTAATTTCTTACTAAAGGTTAATGAGAGTTGTGATTCTTAGATTACATTACTGATATTAAAGAAGATATCATAAGAAGCACAAGAATGATTGGATTCTCAATTAGATATCATATGAGAAAAAATCAACCCACTAAGAGTTCACCCATTGATTCAAGATCTTAAGGACAATAAGAGGGCTGGTGAGTTAGATTGGTTAGAATAAAACGGTTATATTTGATTTTTATTTGATGCTATATGATCATTGAAGATAGCATTTCTTTTAATTCTAGAAATAATTTAGGTATAGAAAGAATCAATTTTTTTGTACTTTTTTTTCTATAAACAGGCCTTGATTAAAAAAAATCAATGTATTCTCAAAAAATTTCCCCTCTTTTCCTCTTATCCCTTGTTATCTCCACCGAGAACCTCCAATCATCAATACCAATAGTGCAAACCCTCCAACCAACCATCATGTTGCTGCTCTCTCTACCTTCTACAACCAACCAGCAATTGTCATTACCTATCTTCAATCCTAGCAACACGAACACTTCTACATTGTCGCTAGAGGCTTCAGAAGGAGTCCTAAGACCTAATGTTAGGAGGAAAACAACAACTTTGTTGTCGTTCCAGCATACCAAAGAGGATATTATAGAAAGAAGATTGTTGACTAACAATTGTAAATATAACAATATTATTTTCAGTAATAAATATCAGTATAAATAGCAACCAACTACTATTTACATGAGAAGAAGCCTAAACAAGGGGAGTTGGTCCAATCCTGTAGGAGGGGACCAAAATTGAAAGGATGGATGTTGTTCCCGCCTATTTTGGGCTGAAATCATAGAGAGAGAGAGAGAGGGAGAGAGAGAGAGAGAGAGAGAGAGAGAGAGAGAGTCAAATGCAACAAGAATCCTAACTTAAGGTACCTTTAAGTTGATTCATATATAATTATTTACTCTCTATATAATTCCTTTACCTTTTGTAACAGTGCTAACCATTCATCGTGGGCTTGCACAATAAATGCTGAGAGGTTGGCTAGGTATCACAATTAGTAACTACAATCAAATCACTGAAGCGTATGACATAACCATAATATGATGACACCAACACAATCAATATAATCACCTCAGTGAAAGGAACATATCAAATCCCATTTGATACGAGAGTTCTAAGTGTGACTATATGGACTCAAGACAATAGGTGAATTGGATTGGACGCTTTGTGATGTGGGACATCTTAGGGTCAGAGCTTTCCTAAATCTTTTTAACGAAAATTAAAAGAACACACAAAATTTACATAAATATAATTTAGTGGTCGCCTTAAGTAGAAGTTTAACATTGAAATTCAGACCAACGAAAATCAGATGTCGATCGAGAATCATGCTTAAAAAAACTCAAATTGTATGAAATTTGACTAAACATTCATAAAGGCAGATTTAGCCCTGACCAGCTAAAGAGACCACATTAGAACACAGGCTCCATAATTAGTTGAGCAAAATAAGACCTAGCCCTTTAAGAGTTTGCAGTGGATGAGCAGACCATAAATTTAATGAAATAATCTTATGGAATGCAAAATAATTAGCCCTGCGAGATTAGCCATAAAAAGTATGTAGCATATTGAGTATTCAAACAGTAACAAGCAGCCATCATGAAGAAACCCAAGCATTTTTGCCTATTCAATTCTATTAGACAGGAAAGTTCGCTCCTAAATACTATTTTAGTTGTTTTAAGGAAAAAAAAAGTCTGGTTGCAAGTGAATCGATACACAAAGGAAACACGGGAAATGAAGTGCGTGCAGACCTGCGCAGTCGAATTGGCGATAGCCGATCTTTATGGCGGAAAAGAGAAGATTTCTGATAGATTGACCCTCCATCCTCCAAACCCCCAGCCCGATCACCGGCATCTTGTAGCCACTACTCAGCGTAATCGCTCCGGCTGCCATTCTCACTCTCTCTCTCTCTCTCTCTCTCTCTCTCTCGGCTTCTCAACCTCACCGTCACGGCTTCAGGCGTGCCTAAAAGTTCCACTCTGCATTTTGTACATGGGATTCCATTAATGCATGAGCCGGCCTACAAATTTGTAATTTTCGTTAAGATGCCCTCTTTAATGAAAAAAAAAATTATCTTTTTTGAAAATTTATGTTGTCCTGTCGATAGGTCTATCCGCTTTTGTTCCTTTTCCTGTTTTATTATAAGCGAAAATTTGAAGTGTCGTATTATGATTATATTTATAAAAAAAGAGAATTAATAAACCATACAAATTTATTCATGAATGAGCTATTATTTTAAAAAATAAAAAAAAGTAATAATAATTAAACCTAATTATTAGGATTTATTGTCTGATTTATTAAAACCTAAATAAAACTTCAAGTACAAATTATTCACATAATATGAATAGTCACAACTAAATCAAAAGTAAAGATTTTGTATTAAAAACAATGAGTTTGTAGATTATATTATGATTAAATTTTGCCCCTATTTATTCCATAAATCACATCAGAAAATTATTTATTCAACAGAGTAATCTAATGATGATTCACATAATAATGAAATCGGAATACGTTTAGTTTAGATCATTTAAACACTTAAATCAAATAGTTGGATATGATAGTCAATAAGACTACGCATTAATGAGGGTTAATTTTAATAATAATATTGATACGTCATAACGAAATTATCTTGATCGGGCACGAATCTCGGCGCAAAAATCAAGTTGAAAAGTTCAAAAATTAAATTTGGAAGCACCTGAACTCCGATTTTAGCGAACTTACAGTCAAACTGAGCGTCTCGGAAATACGAACCCAAAGATACCAAATTCAACTCAATCTGAGCCCAAATGAGCCCAAATCAAGCGCCCGAAGTGCTGTTGAAAAGCTCATACCACAATTTGAGTTACCAAACGGTCTCCAATTTTAACGAACTTATACTCGAATCGAGTAGCTCGACGAGACGAATCCAACGAACCCGAGATCGCCGAATTCCAACATCACTAAGGCCTTCAAATGTCCAACGAATGGTGCACGATCGAAGGATCAACATCAATCGTCCATTCAACCACTCCCTATTCGCCCCTGATCTCACACCTATTTACAAGCCATGCCACTCCAGAAAAACTATAAATAGAGCCCTCATTCTTCACAAGAGGACTCAAGGGAGAAGAGAGAGAAGAAGAGAAGAGAAGAAGAGGAAAAGGAGAATCATCTCCTCCTCGACCACCGCCGGAGTTCTTTCCGCCGCCTGAATACGCCGGAACTCTGTCAAATTTTTGGAAGACGCCTGAATTCTGCAGAACTTTGTAATTTTGCTTCAAATTAGAAGAAACGGATCGTAATATGATCGTCCTGACTAGTGGGGCGAATCATCTTCTTGTAATTTACAAAACACTAGTGGAACTTTTCAGCTGGGCGTGGCCCCGTGGTTTTTTCACTCTTTCGGGTTTTCCACGTAAAAATCCTGGTGTTCATTTTCTTTTCTGTTTGTGTGCTGAATATTCGTGCAACGCTCAAACGTGAATTTGTAAACTCTATCGCCGCGTATATTCTAGCCCGCAACAAATATGATTGCAAATAATGAGTGGGTCTATAAGCACACAATATTTAAGAGTGGACATTGTCCTTGTATTTGGTGGTTCATTAGAAATCTTTTGGACCCATTTTTAACATAATATTATATTTATATTCAATATAGGGAAAAATCAAATAAGGCTTTAAGATGACCACAGGGTGAAACCTTTTGCCCATAAGTCTTGTTTGATAGACGCACAATCAGTCAAACATGTTCATGCATACATCCTTTTATTGTCAATTGCTTCGTTATACCTAACACATTTGGTAACAAAATTAATTTGTGTTTAGAGATGTGCATCATTTGAATAAAATCAAAAAATTGAACCAAATATATCTTATTGATTGGAATTGTTTTAATTGTTAAAATATCAATTTGTTTGTTAATTGTAATTTTAATTTTCTTTTATTTTTTATAATTATTGATTTAAATTTTAGAGGGATTTATCTATATAGCACTCGAAACTTAAATATTTATATATCTAACACCCAAAAGTCTTAAAATACTCGTCCCAAACCTCAAACATGCATATTCCCTTATTTCTATCACTATGTTCCATCTCTATGTGCACATGAGAGCTCTAAAGCAGCCACGAACTGCGCCTCCTTCGTTTGCTACTTCTCTATCTTCTGATGTCTGAGAACGCTCGTCTAACCCTATTTCTCAAGCCCAGTATATCGAGCAGCAGAATAAAGAAGAATGAGCAACAATACTAAGATGGGATTTAGGGCATGAGAAATAAGGTCGAACGGGTGTTCTCACACATTAGAAGACGAAGAAGTAGTAGAAGAATGACACGTGGTAGACGAACAAGGAGGTGCGGATGGGAGCTATCACACGCGCCTCATGGAGATGAAACGAAGTGGTGATATGATGGAATAGGTAGGTTTTAGGTGTGGGATGAGTTTTTGGGGTTAGATGCATAAATATGCAAGTTTAGAATGCTATGTGGGTAAATCCCCTAAATTTTAATAAAAGTAAGCAAGCTTAAATGAATTATCTTTCTTTCTTTAAATACTAAATTCATAAAGCCATATAATTAAAAAAATAACATAAAATTCACTTGTATATTATTTACTCCATATGCCAAATTATGAATTTTAACAAAAACTTTTTGTTTTTTTAATATATTACTTTAGCTAAACATATTTAGCATCATTGTTAAAAACTAAATTTCGATTCACTTTCATTAAATTCAAAAATAATTTGATCAATTCGATTTTCTAAATTTAACTATCAAAATCAATAGATTGAATTGATTTTCTCAATTTAACAATTAAATTAAATCAATTTAGCTAATTAGTAAATCAAATAATCCAAATCAGCAAAATATCATCCTTAATTCTAGTAATTTGGGTGAAAGGCCATTTAAGCAAAGCCGTAAATGTATTGCATATATTTTATGTTGTGAAGCGCAACCTACTTCGCTGATAATTATGTAGCTCATCCAAAAATGCAGAATGAGATGAAAAGAAAAGACACAACTCATCTTGGCCTGTTGGTTGAGAGCTTATGCTTCAACTAAGAGGTCCTGGGTTCGAGTCTTTGTGTATGCGTGGTGTGTGTGAGTTTGCCTTAATTGGCCTAAATGTCAAAAAAAAAAAAAGAGATGAAAAGAAAAGCGTACACAACTCTCCTTGGCCTATTGGTTGAGAGCTTAGGCTTCCAACTAAGAAGTCCAGGGTTCGAGTCTATGTGTATGCATTGTGTGTGTGAATTTGCCTTAAAATGGCCTAAATGTCCCAAAAAAAAAAAAAAAAAGAAAAGCGTCAGTTCACCTAAAATCTTCCCGAAATGAGAGTAAAGTTTGGAAAAAAAACGTGTAGATGGGTAAATTATTTGGTGGAGAGTCCGGACTCCAATTAAATTTTGACAGTGTAGTAGACGTGGAGATTTAATTGAATTTCATTTTTTTAGATTATTTTATTTTTCATTTTGACATTTTCGCTGCTCACAAAGCACAGCAAAAAACCCAGCAAGAGAGCAACAAAAGGCAGCAAAAATAAAAGCGCAATAAAAGGTCAATAAAAGCACCTTAAAAAAGAGCGACAAAAGACAACAAAAACACAATAAAAACAGATCAAAATAGCAGCAAAAGCACACTAAATTACACATTATAAACTTTTAAAATAATTTCTTTACAAAAAACACACTCAACATCCACGCCAAATAATCTTTCATTGGCCCGAGAGGAAAGGTTAATGTTTGTTGTTTCGAGTGATCACTTGCAAATAAAGGTTCTAGGGGGTCAAAAGTGCGCATACATTGCAAATCAGATGCATGCATTAAACCTGTTTCAAATCCATCGAAAACATATTATTTCATCTTGTGGCACCCATCAAGTGATTTGACAAGTATCTCGAGGTTGTAATTTCATATGGCCATAAAATAAATGAAATCTATTAATAGAACAAGATTATTGCTTTCGGACCCAGGAGTTATGCAAGCCTTTTTTAAACACTAATAGACTACACAACTCATCTTGAGCTATTACCTGTGTGTATGAATTTATCTTAATTGATCTAAAATTAAATTAAAAAGACACTAATGGACGTGCTGCAAGAAGAATTCGAATTGATATTTATAATTTAAGATAACATTTATTCTTAATTTCTTATTGATTGTATTTACAAATTCATTTTAAGACTTTATCGATTGAATATTCAAAAATAATATTATTAATTTATGATGCACCGATCCAACGTTTGGAGCCAATGAATCGTAATCTACAAAAAATCCAAGCCCATCCTCCCCAACCATCTATTTCCCGTTGTAGAAAATTAATGAATTCATTTTGGAAACAAGTGGGGGATATTCCCATTATCAAAATTTTGTCAGAGCACACAGAAGAACCACCACGCGAAAAAATCCAAAAAAAAACAACGTTTAGCAAATTACAAAGGCGGTCCTACAGGATCCACCATGATTTATAACAGAAGAAAAAGATAACTCAGAAGAGATCCCTGCTATCTCTTCAAACTACAAATATATAAGCAACGACTCTCGAATTTTCCAAGATAACGTGAAACAAAGTTGAAGGCTAAAATACTTCGACGGCGATAGCAAACACATAATTTGCATAAGAAAAATAAAACAGGACGGCAAATTAACGACAGCCTTTACCTTCCCATCTCCCCCTCCTTTAGCAATCAGCCACTCAAAAGCTCAGGCACCGCATGAACTCCCACTCCACATCATCATCATAGCTGCCGGCCAACGCAGCGCTATCGTGCTCCGAGTCCATGGCGTCGTAGACAAGGTAAGGCATGGAGTGGAAAGCGCGCGCCAGACTGCACATGATGGCGTCCCCGTCGCCACGAGCGTATTCCTCGGCGCGGCGCTTGAGCGCCTCGAACATGAGCTCAGGCTGGTGCTGCATCGCTCGAAGGACGTCGGCGCAGGAGGAGCCCGGCACCGCCTGCGTCACCGCGAAGCAATGGGGCCCATTGCTCTGCGACACGCGCACAACGCTTGGCCCTCCGAATAGGTTGTGCAGTCCACCGAGCGCCTCCTGGTAAGCCCCGCCAAGAAACATGCCAAGGTAGTATCCCCCGCTGCCGGCGACAGGAATTTCGTGCAAGGGGAGACTCCCACTGCCGCCGATGAATTTGTTTACCTTCCCGTCGCTATCGCAGGTGAGGTCAGAGAGCACGCCATTCACGACTGGCCGCTGGTCAAGGCGGTGGATTGGGACTATTGGGAAGAGTTGCCCAATCGCCCAGAAATCCGGAATTGATGAAAAGATCGAGAGGTTCACGTGGTAAGTACGCACAGGATCCGAGGCGCCAATCTCCCTGGCAACCAGATCGCATAGTAGGTCCACTGCCGCGAGGTGTTCGAGGCCGAGCATCCCGTCCTTGAACTGTTCCACGCATCGCCGCTTCAGCTGGTCTGCGTAAATTATGTACGTTTCGTACTCCCCCAGCACAGCGGAGGCCATTAGATTGCGGTGGTCTACCCGGGCTTCGTCTTCGAGGGCGTCGAGAAGGTAGGCAAGGTTCTGTTTGATAGATTCTGGAACAACAGCGCTGGTGGAAACCGCTTCGAAAATCAGGACGGAGTGGTGGGAGACGAGAGCACGGCCGCTCTCGCTACAGATAACAGGATGGCGCACTTGCTTCTGGTTGCAGGCATACTGGATAGCACGAACCACGGTGGAGGCGTACTCGTCCAGCCCATAGCCCACGGACATGTCCGAGCAGCTGGAATGGGATCCATCATAGTCGATGCCGAGGCCGCCCCCAATGTCGATCACATTCATTGCAGCACCAAGCTTGGCGAGCTCACAGTAGATCTGAGCTGCCTCTCCAACGCCATCAGCAAGCAAGGCGGTGGACGGAATCTGGGAGCCAATGTGGAAATGTAGGAGTTGGAGGCAGTCCAGCATCTCCAGCTTCTGAAGTTTTCTTGCGACAGAGAGGATCTGAGAGGTAGTCAGACCAAATTTTCCATTCTCGCCGGAGGTTGAGCCAAAGTGTCCGGAATGTTTAGTTCTGAGCTTTGCCCTGAGACCGATAACCGGTCGTACGCCGAACTTGCGGCTGGTTTTCACCACCGTGTCAAGCTCTTCCTCCTGCTCAAGGACGATCACTGTGTTGATAGCAAGACTCCTTCCCATGAGAGCAAGAGATACGTACTCCTCATCCTTGTAGCCGTTGCAAATGAGAAGCGCATCTGGGCTGCCTCTGATAAGATAACTCATGGAAAGAAGGAGCTCGGCTTTGGAACCGGCCTCCAGACCAAAACGGAAAGTAGAGCCGAACTCCACGATATCCTGAACGATGTAGCGGTCCTGATTACATTTGACAGGGTAGACTCCCTGGTAGTGAGAATCGTAGCCGTTGGATTCAATGGCGAAGTGGAAGGCGGAATGCAGGGATTCGAGGCGGTTCTTGAGGACGTCGGGGAGTCGCACAATGACAGGAAGCTGCAGGCCGAGGCCACCCAAGGATTTCGGATCAGATGCTTTTTTAACAACCTTCATCAAATCAATCTCCTGGTGAGGTAGGGTTGCAGAACCGAAGGGACGTACGGACATATTGCCGGCGTCATTGACGGTGAAGTAAGGGGCGCCCCAGACGTCGATTTTGTAGAGGGCGGCAGAATGGTCGGTGGACCATGTGACAGGGCGTTCGAGGGAGTTGGGGATGGTAGCCGTCGCCGTAATGCTACCGGGAAATGCTCCCGGAACGTGAAGAGAGCCATCCCACGTAAAACCGTAAACAGGATGAGTAACTGCACCATCCACGCAGGCCAAGGCCGGCATCTCTCCCGGGTAAAAAAAATTAAAAAAATGAAAAATATATATATACAAGGATTATCAGATCTTGGTGTAGTGAAGGGGGCTTTGTAAGCCGCCGAGGCCGGAGCCCCGGCCACCCCCCCAAAAGTAGCAGAAGGGGGAAGAATCAAGAGAGAAAAAGCTTAGACCTCTCTTAAATAAACCGGATATCCCCACGCCGGCCCTTCAGAATAAAAAAGAAGCAATAAATTCTAAGTGGCTAAGAGAAAGAAAAAGAAATCTACGGCGATGCAAAAGAATTTACCGGCCTCGATAGATCTGAGAAGGGGACGAGAAGAAAAAGGCGGATGAAATTAAAAGTACTAAACGCCGGCAGAAACTACAGCGGCGCAGGGCGTAAACCTAACGGACGATAGATTAGGGTTTAAAAAGACGAGAGATATATGAAACCGTGCGAGAATTACATGAACGGCGAGGGTCTTCATATAGGAAGAAAATTACTGTTTTACCATTCCAGCTAGGTTAATAAATAATAATAATAATAAAGCCATAGAAACCGTTTTTCTTTCATTTGATTTTATTACTCTTCTTTTCAGTGTATTTATCACTTGAAATCCATCGCCAGAATTGTTAGTATGGTGCCGCGTGGCGGTGGGCCCATTTCCGAGTGAATTGAACCGTGTCGTGAGTGGTTCATAAAAATTATAAGTGAAGGTGGTGGTGGGCCGCCGGTCGCCTCAGGCGGGATCTTCTGATGGGGAAGCCATCCAAGGATTCAGAGAAAAGAACGGATGCGATCGAGCCACGTTTATTGTTCTGCTTCCCTCGGTACTAAATAAACCACGCGTTGAAGCGGCGTCGCTATAAAAGAACCGTTTGTACGACTCCGTTTTGAGGCTATTAACGTGGCAGATAATGAAAATGTTATTTGCTAGTGATTACTTCTCGAGCCGACATAATTATCGATTCTTAGTAGGTCTTAAGTTAATTTTAAGATAATTATAATAAATTTATTTAAATAGCTCTAGCTTAGCTTGTTAAAAAATTAGCATGTTCGGGCTTAAGCTTGTGAACTCATTGGAGGACACAAAAAGGAACCGATATGAGAACTTGTTGAAGAATGAAAAAGATGACACTTAGATGGGAGCTCTTTAGATAGTGGTAGCAACATGAGCTCCTTGGAGGACGCATTGATGGGAGATTGCTAAAGAAAGATTGGGACAAGTTGAACGCCCTCATTTGATGAAGACGGAGAGTTTTTGAAATTAGGAGTTATGACCTAGGGTTTAAAATTGTTATGATAATTTTAGGCGAAGTCTATTGTAATTCTATGTTCAAATATTTCATTTTTAAAATTAATTCTCATGCATAAATCGATATTTATTGTATTCTATTCTGATTTAGTGAACTTCCACGACATAACTTTTGATATACTATAGTACTGATCGTTATGATAATTTTAAATGGATAATCACATAATTTCACTGGTTGAAATCGTAATGATTGCATTTTGTACATTTTGAAAAGGAATAAGGTGTATATTAATTTTGGCATTTATGATACGAGCATCATTTTGGCATTTTACGACGAGCGCATTGTGAATGAAAAAATGCTAATTATTATCAATCATATATGTTCTTATATTATGTGCAAACAAAAAATGGTGGTTATTAAGAAGGATTGGTTGTAGATTGATTATATCTTATACATAATGGTGGATCAATTGACTTTTCTTAATAAGATATATGGTGATATCCTTGACCATGATCAAGATCAAAATTGGGAGTTATAAGGAGTTTAAGATGCCGACGAGCAACAAAGAGGTCTCTTCAAGAATCCACCTGAACATTAAATTAAAGATTAAGATATTAAAATGAACATTATACGTATATGATTACTAAAAAATACCACACAAGCCAGAACTCCTTATTTTTTAATATGATTAGTGTGATTATTTATACATGCATACATGCGCTGTTGCTATATTGAATTCAAGATTTAGATATAAATTTGATTAAGACAATGACATGATATTAATGAATCTACAGGGGTAGATTCAATACAATATAATTGCACCAATGATAATACCATCTTTATTGTTATGGATTTCCCACAGTTACGTAGATAATTGTCTTTTATTATTGATACAATCTTCGTAACGATTTGATAATGGTGCACGAATGATATGATTTGCAACTTATTGCTTTAACATGCATACTAATATTATTTCTATGATTTATGATTATCATATTCAATGTATTCTATATAATTATGATCATGTTAAATGCAATATTAGATGCTACAGTTATGATTGGAATGAAAAAGCATATCATCACTTTTTCATGCTTCAAGTTCAATTGTAAGATGTGGTGGCTTGCTAGGCTTCGTAAGCTCATTATGTGAATTTAATTCATTTCAGGTCGGAGTAAGGATCTAATGCTATAGGATCAATTAGAGTCAGGATTTACATGTTTAGTTTTATTTATGTTGTTTCTTTTGTAGCCAGATGTTTTGAGCAGACGATAGATATAATTCAATTAAACTTATATTTATTGTAAATGATTTTTGAAAGAATATATATATTTTTCTTTTTTTGGCTACTCTTTTATGGAGAGAATTAATAGCTCTGATAATGATTAATGATTAAAAAAAGTATATGATTCTTCCTATTTAGATCTAGGGATGTAATAGTCAATCACTAGTAAGATTTAGGTTTAGTTTGGGATGGATTTCTTACTACTTCTTAATGCAGTTTTTTAGTACAATTTTTTTTTATTTTTGTGCTAGAAAGCTACTTTAAAAAGCAGTAAGAAAGTTGTTCCAAATGAAGCCTTAATCGAGTTAGCTTGCGATCCAACGAGACAAGTTAGATGAAGCTTGAACTCAAACTTGCATATTTTATTGACCATAATCTTAGCTCGGGTTGAGCTTGTAGCTTGATAAGTTTGAATTATGAGCTCGTTAATGAGCTGAGTTGGAGTTGGCGTACTTACACTCTTAGGGCAACTCCAATGGAACGGCAAACACTTGTTTGCCGTTCTTGCTTTGCTCCAACCGATCGTCATTTTTGACGCCATTTGATCGCGGATGAATAGTGCGACGCCAATATTGGGGTTGCACTGTTCATCTGCGCCATTTTTCTCTCTCTACCGAACATGTTCGGAAGAAAGGCGTGAAAGAAAAGCGACGGTTAAGCGGCAAAATGGCGTTCGATTGCAGATGAAACACTGCATTTTTTATTTCACTGCATTTTGGAGCGAAAAAGGAGATTTTCGGTTGGAGCTGCCCTTAGTCCTCATCGCTCGCACACAAGAACTTATCTCTATTCAATTTTCCATTAATTACTTCTTGACACAAAATATTCTCCCAACTCCATACACGCCCCATGATCTCCATTGCATGTCAATGCACCAACAATAACAGTAAACACTTTGTATGCCCAAATGACATAACCCCCTCCCTTCATGGGGTTTTTCAAGCCTTTTTGTTTATTAAGAATCTGAAGTTGTTTTATAATAGAGATAGTTTTAAAAGTTAAGATATGGGTTGTTTCTTTGTAGTTATTAAGAGTATAAAGTAAAAAAGAAATATTTAATAAATTTTTTATTAAAGAAATATTTAATAAATTTTTTAAATATGTTATTATTTGAAAATTATATTTAATAAATAATTTAATTAAAATCACTAAAATATCCCTTGATTTAACATCATTAACTCCAACCTTTGATATTATGACAAAAAAGATCCCTCTTTAAGAAGTCGAGGGTCATTCAAAAGAGTTAGAGATCATTTTGATCTCACAAAAAGTTGAGGGACTATTTCCGTCTTTTTCTAAAAAATTTGATATAATTCTAGAATTTTAAACTAGTATTAGTTTTTAATTATGTATAATTAAATCACAAAATTCAATAGCTAAAAAAAAGGTGATTAAGGTTTTGTTTGGAACGACTTTCTTACTGTTTCTTAAAACAATTTTTTAGCAAATAAATTTATGAAATCTAAATTTAATTTGCTGGACAACATTAACATCGTTGTCACACAAGCTCAATAATCTATGCATTTGTTTTAGGCTTCGTTTGGGACAACTTTTTTGATGCTTCTTAATGTTGCATTTTATAATAAAAATTTAAATTTTAGGCTAAAAAGTTTTTTTAACAAGTAATAAAAAAATTATCTCAAATAAAACTTTAGTTCGAGTAGAACATGACCATGTTAATAACAAATATTATGTTCAAAGCAAAGACAATTTCCTTTGACTGGATCCCAATAAGGATATGGATGAACCATAATGATGAAGTTTTTTTTGGTATAGAGCATCACATGGGATTGATTATAAACAGTATGATATTTGTATTGCTCTGACCCATCGATGTATATGCAAATGATAATAGTGTGTGTATTTAATTGCTTCAGTTGCAGGACATGCGAGTCCATTGTGTTCATAACTTCTCCCACTTGTTTACATAATATTTCTAGTTGAAAAAGTACATAATAAACAAAGCAAATATACTTAGGGAAAATAATTTCTGAGCAATAAACCAAGCAAACGTACGTTTTGAGCTGTTACCATTGAATTCCGATGAATGAGGCAAACATATCTCGCAAATCATCAGCTTTCATCCTCCTATGCGAGCTCAAAGAAACTATTTTATTTTTTTGTCCTGGAATATTCGCGGCGATAGAGAAATATAAAGTTTTAACTTCGTAGATTTGTATGAAGATCCAGTACATAACCAGGTAAAAGAAAAGTGTGTAGTGTTCGTAAGAAATACCAGAGTTTTTATGTGGAAACCACTAAGAAGGGGGGAAAAGAACGGGGCTTGGCCTAATTTAAATGAATCCACTAGTGTTTGCAATCGATTACAAATGAGACCCTTCCTAGCTTGGAGGGAAGGCATTGGCTTAATGTAGCAAATACACATCATATAGAGTGCATTACGTGGTGGGAATTGGAAGAATCATTACTGATATGTTTGTTTGGTCGGCAAGACCAAAGTTGCTGGCAAGCAACAGAAGTCAGGTATAGACCGTAGTCGAGTGACGATTGTCTGTAGTCGACGGCGACGGAGGTCGGAAAGACCTTTGTTAGGCGATGAAGGTCAGAAGGATTGTAGTTGGCGGGCAACGGAGACCGTAGTATGATGATGGAGGTCGGAAGGACCGTAGTCGGCAAGCGACCGAGGTCAAAAGGACCGTAGTCTTTGGGCGACCAAGGTCAGAAAAGATCATAGTCTAGCGTCGGAGGTCAGAAGCTGTAGTCGGCGGGCAACGGAGGTTGAAAAGACCGTAGTCTGGTGACGGAGGTTGGAAGGACCGTAGTCTACGATGGAGGTCAGAAAGATCATATTTGGCGGGCGATGGTGGTCAGCAAGACCGTAGTCGGGTCACAGAGGTCGGGAAAATTGTAGTCGGACGAAGGTGGTCGGAAGGACCGTAGTTAACGGGCCGCGGAGGTCGAAAAGATTATAGTTAGCGACGGTGGTCGGGAGGAAATCTGGTGACAATCG